GTCTTTTTAAGACACGATGTTCCTTATGAATAGGAGTGCATCTCATATTAGAGGTTATTCGACTGTCACAGTAGATAGCCATGGTATGAGAGACCTGTGGAAGTAGGACACAACAAAGAACAGAAAGCTTCCATTGATGCAATAAACAAAACCAGCGTTCACACATGCTTCTATCTATTCCAATACCGATAGTCATTTACTGAGGTTCATATAAGCAGCACAGTTACGAGATCCCATCACCGGCAAGCAACACGGGAAGACAAAAGTCGTGCGCGGGAAAGCCACTCGGTGTTTTTTCAAACGTTACCTGTTCTGCCTTTTTTTCGAGCCTATGACAGCTATTTCAGTGAGAAACGTCTTTGAAGATCTTTCTGAGACTGTACCTTAATTTCAAGGTATTTTTGGGACTGTAACGGATGTTTTAATAAAAAAAAGATCTTTGAAGATCTTTTTGAGACTTTACCTTAATTTTAAGGTATTTTTGGGACTGTAACGGTTGTTTTTATAAAGAAAGGTCTTTAAAGATCTTTTTGAAACTTTACCTTGGTTTGAAGGTATTTTTGGGACTATAACAGATGTGTTAATAAAAAGAGATCTTTGAAGATCTTTAGTGGAGTTTCCTGTGTGTTTCGATTAATTTTGGGACTGTATGAAGGAATTTAGGAGATTGGGGTCCTAAAAGATCTTTCTGGAGTTAGGTCACGTCCTACCGATGAGGACTGGATACGGTGTATTTCCGTTGTGGTTCCGGAAGGATACGGTATTTTCCTTTATTGTTTCCTGCGTGGTACTGCTGTTTCCGTGTGGATATGGCGTGGTTTTCGGTGCTTTCCGGTGAGCGGAAATCCGTCAAAATAACTCGGTTCCGGGTACGAAGACTTTCCGGCCGGAATACTGCTACCCTGTTCCGGCTATTTTTCTGGCGGGAATAACGCGAGAACCGGTGGAAATTGGGCGAAAAATACGACGTTTCCTGCTGGTTTCGACCGGATCCGGAGGCCGGAATCATCGACCTGGCTCGATGAAATTTGACCCAAGACAGCTTTGCATGCATTCTGGTACACAGATTAATAAAAATTTTACTCTAGAATCGTCAATAAACCATGAGCCTATTTTGAAACTTACATCTTTTAAAATTTGTCATGTAAAATCAACCGAGATCACATTGAAACTTTATCCTATAGTCAATGCTTATTTCTTTGACAACTCTCTTTCAGAAACGTTCTAGTTTTCTTGTGCTTTATAGAAAAAACATATGCAGACTCTTGAACTAATCAATCAATAGGAATGTTGATCACACAAAATAGCTTTGAATGCATAGCTTTAAAAACTGAAATAGATTAAACGAAAATTTTCATTTTCTTACAACACGTTGAACTAATCTTTTGGTAAAAAAGATTTATCAACCTCGCTTTAGATGCTAGCAATCAACAACAATAAAATGAATAGTAACATAACTCCAATTCCTTTTTGTATGATTCAGAAACTTTCTTTGGATAAAAATTCAGCGATCTCGCATAAGTGTGAAACCTAGTAGAGTGATCAGCAAACATGTATAAAAACATTTTTATGATTATAAAACTTTACTGTTAGAAAAATACTTGAGTTTATTATCAATATCGTTTGTGCTATTGCTATTATTTATTCGAGATAGCTTCATTCTCATTAATAGCATAAAATGTAAAACGAAGTATTTATTTCCCACAGAGGAAATTGTGTTCGTAAATGGATGTTCCGCAAAACTACCACTTCAGTGTCAGATTTTATAGTTTTCACTGTAAGCATTAATAAATACTATTCTTGTCCTGGAAAAGCTAAATATATCATTTTATAGTTTCGTATGTATCGTTTTACGATATTCACACAAAACTCCAATTAGAATGTACCAAGGGTCATTTGTTACAAGAAACGAAATTTCTTAAATGGTTCTATTATATATCATTCTTACTGTGAAAAATCATGAAGACTACTAATTATGAAGAATACGAATGAATAATAATATTCTTACCAATACGCTGTGCACCATTGCTATATTTCTCGCTGTGATTAGGCTGGTCCATGATAATGGTACTTGTCAATCGAGTTGTTTTGAATCTCCTAAAATGGAAGATTTTTTCTTACCGAAATTCCCATTAAAACATGAAAGGGTTCAGAACGAGTAAACTGCATGCACAGGCTGAGTCGTTTATAAATACCATATAACTCTCTTACTCGTCAAAATCGATGTCCGCTAACTTTACACTTACAGAAATGAAATCGAATAAACAATATATATATATCGCATCCAAAAATATTTCCAAAGGAAAACTAAAAATTGACGACTGCTTTTTGGCGTCGTAATATCAGCCTAATAGGCCTAAACGGAGAGACTTTTTGGTTTGTTGTCGACACGCTTTTATTATCGCATATAGACGAAGTGCTTGTACTTATGATCATGTCATCAATTTGACTACGGGTTGAAACAAAATGGACACCAGTGTACAATAATAAAACAACTCAAAGTGATGAATCAATTTTCCTTTTTATTATTCTACATCGAAAGGAGAAGCAAATGTTTTTGTTTAGCATCCGAACGCATATAATAACCGATCACTGTTTAGTCAAAAACAGAAGATGCTTCGTGAAACCCAACATCGAAAATTAGTCGAATAAGGAACAGTTGAACGAAAGTTTGACGCCAATAATTTGTCGATGCGAAAAGTTGTGAATTTAAATATTGGTGAGGAAACTCATAATAAGAAAACAAGTTTATTCATCAAAAATCTTAATTCTTATTCTTAAAAAAACTAAATTAAGAGAAAACATTTTTATAGAATAGTGTAGGACAGAAAAGAATTACTGAAAATAAACTCCTAATATAATTACGGTAAGCTCGACATTTATATTCAATCTTTCGGTTATGTTCATATTGACAACTGCTCTTAACCTATATCGTTTTATTGATTAGATGACCAAAGTTCTCTACAAAGTAATGAAAGTTTGATTTTTTTCAGTTGTACTCAAGATAAACTTTGAACTTTTCGAAAAGCATCTAAGACAAGCTACTATAATAGTTTAAAGTCCAATCTCTAAGCAATCTATTATTCATAACGCTGTTGTATCAAACCAAATCGATACCATAATAATATGGCTGATTCGGAGAATATAGGCTGCCTTTAACTTATCCATAATCTATATTAATTTTCATAGATCACACATTTGCGCTTTTCTTTTGTAATAGTCCACAGCATACTTGGAACCGGACCGCTCGGTCCGATCGCACTTTTAAAACCGACAAAACCCGGTGCAGACCGGTTTGACCAGTTTTTTTACCAAATATTAGGGCACGAAAACTAAATTAGTGTATTTTGCTCGTTTTTATTGATTTTCATGGCTTCAAAGATCAACAGACATGAGCGTAAACGTTTTTCACTGATAAATTTATAGTTGCCATTAAACTCCTAGCTCTAAATTTTGA